AGCTTTGTGCAAATTTATCAAGCCAAGTAGTCGACATTCCTAAAACAAACATGTAGTTTTAAGAAATATCTGCTTTTCTCCAATTTTAACTTTTCATTCATTTAATTTTATCTCACTCTCCCTTCTTGTGCATTTCCTAGTGGGCTAATGTCATTCTTATTCAAATATCAAAATACTATAAAACACTAAAGTCATAAGACACAATACACTGAGATAAGGAGAAATGTTGAGGACAATTAAGAAATCAGAGAAGGAAACACTAGAGGGTGATGTTGCACAATTTTCCTTCAAAATATAACTGCAGAACTTAAAATCGCACATTGTACACTTTTCAAAGTGCCTCCCAAAGCTATTCCCATCCCTTGAACCATTTCATATTTTCTACCATAATGACCACAATCTTTTTTGTCCCGTTTTCTGAGACACACCAACAAAAGGAAAGAGAAGCGCTCCGGTCACCAAACATTGAATTTTTCAAGCCTGCATGCAAAATTCTGTGTGCAGAGATAGTGAGTGTCTATGAACATCAATTGAAGTTTTCCACAGATACCCCGTATCATCCATGTCTGGACTTTGACCTGGCCATCATAACCCATATATCTGAGCTAAACCATTTTTAGTGTCTTTATAAGCCAAGTTCACCTTCTAACAGGATTTCTGCCCTGTATTTATCTCAACTCGTTTATGAACTACTTTTGCACAAAATTCCAATGAAATACATCAGAGTGAAAAAGTTCAAGTGTGTGACTACTTTTCCAAGATGTTGTAAAAAAAATTAAGGGGTAATACAACATCAAAAAATCTTGCTGACTCCCTCTAAGCTGCCTCCCGGCTTTGTTTCCAAAGTATCAGAACACAGGAGTGTAGAACAGAAGCATACAAGTTGAAAAGAGAAAAATAGAAAGTTATGACATCACTTCCATTTTGTGTAAAGAAAGAAAGAAAAACTGCCTTTCAATTCTGGATACTTGTTACAGTTCATCTGATAAACAATAAATAAATAGGTGTATTTAACTCACATGTCTATTTTTTTTCCACTTGAGGTAATGAGTTTTTATATTACTTTTAGGTGTCAAGAAATCAAAAAAGCAGCCAATACTACTTCTCTTCTCTCGTCATTGATCCATGTCTCTTCTAGTTGATCCTGACCCTTTTCCTGTTCATATCAGCCCGTTTCTCTCCATAGCCATGGTCTAATGAACAATCTTGAGTGCTCAGAACATTCCTCGTCCGCCCATCCCCACAGGCCGTCTCATCGCCGAGTGCTTCTTGTGCTTCTTTTACTCCTCTTTGACGGCTCCTTCGCAGCGTCAGACTGCAGCTCCTGCAGTACAGCGACGGCCGTCTCGCTCCAGAGCTTCACCTCCGTGAAGACGCTGTACACCCACAGCTTCTGGTGGAACACGTTGCTGGGACGATACGGCTGCCAGTGAGAAGACAAGAGTTGCTCTGTTTCAGTTTCTAATCCAAAACATCTGTGCTCAGTGACGTCGACGCCTACCTCCGAGCCGTCCAGGCTCCGGACGGTTTGACCACCAGCTGCTTTGAGAAGCTCTTCGGTGCTTCTCAAAAGGTTCAGCAGTTGATCCTTCAGCCTCCTCCTCCCGTTCTCGTACTCTCCCGTCTCATCTCCGCCCAGGTCCTCCTTCTCCAAGGCGATGGCTCTCTCCAGCAGGCTGTGGCACTTATCCAAAGCAGAGTGGAGGCTCAGTAGTTTGCTCCTGGTGTCCAGCTGGGAGGAAGGAGGAGAGACGAACACCAGACGGTCACTGGCCACATCTTCTGGGAGATTCTCTCGTTTCCTCTTGAGGACGCAGGAAATTAAAAAGAAAGAAACAAAGAGATATCAGAGAATAGGAGAGAGAGGGGACAGTTCAAGATAAATGGTTTTTATTCGTTGTAAAGACCGACAGCAGCTGGGTTTTGTTTTGCGATAGCCAAAGATGAGAACAAAACGCAACTCTGGTCTCACGCGATAGGAATTCGCTTTACCTCATTCCCAGGACTCGGCTCAGCTCCAGCAGGGCCTTGGCTGATTTAAATTACTAACTTCACTGTCTGCATTTAAACAGCTAGCACGGTACAAATCTCAAACATGATGCATCATCAAGAAATACGTTAGGCATCTCGAGTCTTGAGCTTTTACTAAAACGTTGATTTAATAAAAGCTTAAATTGCTTCTTGTGTTTAACTGAGACTGCAGTGTTTTAGATTTTACAATGTTTGTTACAAAGCTCAATCTACAAGGACTCAAATGAGAAAGAAAACATACCATGCCGAGTGTAATTTACACAGAGACGTTCAAACTCTGCGTGAGGAGGGAAAACGCAGTGCATGTCTGTGAGGAACTGAAGTGAGCAATCATCTTGAAACTGCTGTCAGTCGTTACCCAAACCCGAGAGTCTTGGTAAAAAAACCAAGACGAGTCTTGATTAATTTGTATTTACTTTTGTTGATGGCCAAAGTACATTTCGTCATCAACATATGGTTCGTGGTTATTAAAATTTTGGCCAGAAATACATTTTCTACAACGCATTTCTGGAAAATCCTGACCCACATTTTGAATGGACAGTTTTTTTTTTTTAAACAACGGCAAGTTGGAGCAAAATATTCAAACATGTTTTTTTTTTACTCTGAATCCTTTCATCTAATGGACCTTTTGCAATTCATACAGACATTAAAAAAAAATCCCATAACATGTAAACAGAATACATGAACAGACACTTTACAGTGATGAACTATGCCATAGAATCTCAAGGAAATACAAATAAAATAAAAATAATTGAAGTATCTGATTGTAAAGTGATAAAAATGTGCGCAAATTCAAGGTTTATGAATAATTTTGGAACCCACTGCATATGTTGGAATAACGTCACATCAGGCACCACATGCTGATGACGACATGGTGCCGCTCAGGGGCATCAGTGGAGATGGATGTGGAGCATTGTACTCGTTGTTGTGATGCAAAAGCCACCCAACGACATGAAATGCTCTCATGTTTCTGATGTGAAGAAGAGGTCAGCTGTGAACCATCTGTTGCGAAAGTCAAGGAGGAAGTGAAAATTTATGGTCCAAGACTGCAGAGGAAGTGTTACCTCACACTTTTATGGATACCTCAGGAATTTGCTGCATAGCTGGAAGCAATGTTTCCACGGATCACTGAAAAATTACATTGTTGGCTATATGGTTATAATAACAGAGAAGTTCCAAGTTAATTAAATGGATAATTTGATTAATTTGTGTACAGATTAAAGTAATGGAAGCTCAAAAATGAGGAAAATAATAAAAATAATGCTCATCGGGAAGTTTAAAAAAAAATAATCAGGAAGGAAGTCTGGAAGCTCAAGATCTTTTGGGGTTAAATAAAAACAAGCACTGCACCTTAAATACCTAGAAAACTGATGTCCACAGACGTCCAGTTTTAAATTCTAAGATGATTTTCGATCTATTCTCTTGTCAACAAAATGATACCAATGGCACAAAGACAAATGTTGTTTTTAAGTTAGTCTGTTTCTGTTTTTCATTAAAACCATAATTCATGCATTTTCCGCAATAAATTTTATGAAATGTGTTCATTCTCTCCTTGTCAAAGTCTGATACTACAAGTTTAAAAAGACTGTATGTAGAAGCATCTTTTCATAAATCTTTTCTGAAAAGAGTGGTGTTCATATATTCAGTACGCCTAAAGTGGTTCTTTAACAATGCATCAGACAAATGTAATATCCCAGGAATGTATATCTCGACAACTCTACAAACCCGATAAGCCGCGTGTTATATGTTGGAAGTGTTTTGGATTTTTTTGTGGTTACATTTTTTTGCGTTATTGTCCATCTGATCAGCCTTAATTTCTGTTTGTTCTTTAGATCGATCCATTGCAGTTTGACTGCTGTTGTCAAACTGCTGGCTTTCTGGTGCTTTTAACAGTTTTCGTTTCAGATTTTCTCTGCATTTAGCTTCATCCATTTTTCGTTCAACTCTGATCGATTTCTCTTAGAAATAGCCCTCTGCGGCATGCTGCTGCCACCACCATGTTTGACAATGTTCACGGATTTGTCCAGGGTCACGTGCAGATTTAGGAATATCGTAGTAAAGTACTTTACTGTGTGCTGGTCTATACTGTAAAAGCCTGGTAAAATACAAGTTTGTGTAGTAGACTAATGTAGATGTGATGCTACATGTCAGGCCACTCCCTGAGTTCCAGCAAGAAACAAAGCTGGATGAAGGAATGAACTGGCTTCAGACCAAGAAAAAAAAAACAGCAGGCAAGCAAAAGTTCATGGAACAGAGATGAAAAGGACGGCCTATAAACTGGTGACTGCAAAAAAAAAAAAAAAAAAAAAAACCCCCACCTCCCACTGTTCATTCTGACCTGTTGCACTCAACACATTTTCTCTCTCTGCAACACAAAAACATAACTTTACTCCCTCTCACATTACTTCTGCACTCAAAAGTCTGTCATCACTCTTTTGTTCCCTCTCACTAAAACACGCTCTATCCTCAAACACACACACACACACAGATGCAGAAATGCATGCACAAACACACGCCCACGGGGAAGTTCCCATTAATTTCCCTTTAAACCTTGACCCAACTCTCCCCACTCCCAAACGCACAGAAACAGGGAGTCAGGCAAGCGACTTAACTTTTACTGTGACGTGCTGGAAAGTTACCGCCAGAGGAAAGTAGCTATTTAAACAGTATTTACTCACATAGAGGACCAGTAAGTTGGTGCACTCGTACTGCACCAGCGCGGCGAGATTAGCTACTTTGGCCGCCGTGGTCCTGCTCGTTCCTCTGGTCCGTGTTCCAGCCATAACACCTTCCCTTGTTCCAGTAAAAAAGTACGCCAGCAACAGGTCTGCCTTTATTATACAGCCGCGCACGCCTGTCTCTCATCGCAGTGACGTCACATTCCTCCCTCTGTTCCCACTCACTCCTGGTCCAATTAAACTCTGAGTCCTCCTCCCGTCTTCCGGTTAGACGCCGTGCTTTGGACAAGCAGCTGCTCCTGTTTCCGAGCTGCTTGTCCACTCTCCGCCTCTTCCCCGAGAACCTGAAGCCAAACTGCAATAATCCAACGCGACTCACTGGTACGGCAAGCTAAATAGACATTTAATAGAGAGTGACCCTCCACCACAGATGTTTCTGGAAACAAAATGATGTGCGTAGTAAGAGCAAAAGTGGAGGTTTATCCGAGACAAAGGCATTTTTTAAAATGAACCTTTGTTTAACTAGGTTACTTATTAAGAGTTTGCCTTAAAAGTCAGTAAAGCACTTCTGTAGGAGGGGCTCATCAACTAATTCATGAGCAGCTTATCTGATTTACTGGTAGTGACAAAGTCTGGGAGAATGATCTGAATTTGAGTGTAATCCTGTGTGGGCTGTTCCACGCTGCTTCCTCTGTATCCCTGCTCCTTTATGATAAACAGGACTGAGAGCTTATCTTAGAAAATGTTTCCGGCTACAGCAGGGAAGCTGCTGCTGCTCTTCATTAATGACACAGCATGACAATGCTTCCAATTTTTCACTATCCTTAATGATATGTGACCACACTGCAGGCGAGTATCCAAGACAGGTGCTTATTTTTAGTTCCTGTTAGCAGTGCTTCATTCCTGGTAGCAGCTCCTGTTATTTATGATAAACAGCAAGAGACCCGGTTTTAAGCAGGACATACATACTGACAGATCAGTTCAGCAGACAAATGCATGTTTTGAAAAAAGTATTAATACTCCTTGAACTTTTAACATTTGTCACTCACAATGAAACTAGTTCTATGTGTTTTACTGTAATAAAACACACTTTTGATGTGTGGGAGGGGAAAAAAAAGGGTTTTCTAAGTAGATTTTATGTGGATTGTCTTGTCTGGGCTTACAGAGCTGATCAAATATTCACACCTGTCGCTCCTAATCTGTGTAAATGCCCACTCTTGTGTATTAGGCAGACTGCAACTATTGCTGTTTTAAAGTCTCAGATAAAACACAGTTGTTAGGACATCTGTGTTTATTAATAAGAAGGAGTGGAGTTGAGGAAAACAGTGACCTCTGGTGGACGGAACATCTAGACTGCTTTGATCTCTGGCAGTTATCAAAAGAAAAAAAAGTATCTTCCGCTTTCTTTAGCTGCTGCTGCCAATAAACAAGGCACAGAAGATATAAGTAATAAAACATATCTTATTTATCTACCATAAATAAACTGGAAATACAGAATGAAATACATTGCTAGCTGGATGGAAAGATATTTTGTCAAGAAAAATATTATATTTGAATCATTTAAGGTTTTATTGTTTTTTGTTGTTGTTGTTGTTTTTTATTAAAGCCGAACATTTTTATTTCCGTCCTCCGTAGTGCTCTGTGGTAAAATATGTTTTGATGTGAATTATCTCTTTATAAATAACCTGACTCATAAAATATCTTAACTTTAGGAAAAGGTAAATGTGTTTATCACTTATAATTTGTCATTAAAACTTACAATAAATTTGGTCTGTTTAGAAACAGAAATAAAAACAAAAGGGCATTTTTTGCACTAGCTAGTCAGGCATAGCTTTAAGTCCTATTGTTTGGATTTATTAAATACAGAGTCAGTTTTTTGAGGGGTTTTGTGTTCTCTGTTTGTGTAACAGAATTCATTGCAGTGTCATGTATGCATCTTTTTTGCAGACTTATTCAACAGCAATAGCAGCTGAGCGGGATTCTGGATTTAAATCTGCAGGAAAGGCCTGGGTACATGCTGTGGTGGAAAATTGGCTCCGGTAGCTGACTTTCCATGACTTTTATACTTATTGGATAGTGATCTGTAGTGGAAATGAAAAAAATCTTATCTTAATCTTTTTCTGATTACCCAAATATTTTGCATATCTAACAAATTGATATGTTGCCCATATGTTCTTCTTTTAAAAAAAAAAAAAAAAAAAAGTCAAGCTCTCCTAACTGTCTGGTAAACAGCAAATTCCAAGTCTTTCCACAGAGTCACAGTTCTGTGCACAAATAATAGATGTCCTAACAGTGGATTCTTTCATCTGAGCTCCTCTAGAGTTACCCTTCGCCTCCTGGCTGCTTCTCTGCATTATCACTTTGCCAGTCAGCCTGTTGGGAGCCTAACCAATATTCCAATAAACCTCTCTACTTCTTAAGATATTTGTATACTATTTTTCTCTAATTTTGTCAAACATCAAACCTCCAAAACCTTCACAAAACTAAGAATAAATTATAAGCAAGTTTACTAATACTGTGACTTCTGAAGATGGTTGAAATAGATTTTAAAGTGACGGAGTTTACACAGATATACACACCATGGTTCTCAGATTTGTAAAAAAAAAAAGAATTGAAAGTCATTTCATTTTCTCTACACACTGATGCACTGCTATATACCGACTTATCACTATCACATCAATAAAATAAATTGAAATTTGTGGATAGTAAATTGACAAGTTAAAATATGTGAGGGTGTAGGGATGTGGATATTTTTGCAACTCTTGTAATTATTTGGGGAGAAAATAATAACCAAGTGTATTTAGTTTTGCTTGGTTTAAGGAGTGCTATACCACGCCCTTCCTGTAGGTGTCAGTGCAGATGCCCAGAAGAACGTAAATAACAGAAAAGCTACATAATCTGCTGCTCCAGCTACACTTCCCACAGCAAACAGTTTGTACGCAAAACGGTAAAAGAAATTATTTTACGTATTTCAGCGAGGCTATTTTCATAGATTAAAATATTAAAGTGGGTAGCAACTATTGTGGTACAGAATTGTCGCTGTTCTATCCTGAAACCGACCTCATATGCTAATGCTAACAAGCTAGCTCCAGTATGAACTCGCTGGTTGGTTATGGAGTTTCCTCCAGCAGTGATGAAGAGGAGGAAGACGTAAACAGCAGGAAAGCTGAGTGAGTGGACGCTTTTATCATTTGATAATATAGGTTTACTGGTATTCTGATTAGTGATGGTCAGATTTTGTTTTTTTTTGTTTTCAAGCTTTCTTCAAGATGATGCTACCGCTGCCAAAAAGAGCCGCAACTTCTTGCTGGAGTCTGGCTCGGCATCCAGTGAGTCGGACTCTGAGGATCAGGAGCCCTCATCATATTCATCATCATCACCTCATCCTCAAACGCTAGGCTCCTCAGCACCCTCCCGGCCCATCCTGCCTCCACCCCCCTTAGACTCTGTCACCCCTAAAAAGTTACCTCCACCTTCTCTAAACGCCTCGTCTGACAGCAGCGTGTTCACCAACCCATTCAAAGCACAGGCCGACCAGAAGCTCAGTGCTTTACAGAAACACGTTCCACTCACCATGCAGGCAAGACCCTCCCAGATAGGAGGCAAAAAGGTCTGCGTTTCCTACAGGAAGGACGGAAGGTGCAGGTTTGGCATCAAATGCAAGTTTGCTCACGACAGTGACCTCCAGACGGCGATGATTCCCAACGACTCTCATCCATCTGTGAGTGAGGAGACACCAGAACCGGTGGGAGGATCCCAGAGCTTTCAGCAGGAATCAAAGGAAAAAGAGGCTGAGCAGCAGATGAAGAAGAGGAAAGTTGGACTGAGTAACTCTTTGATTCCCCCTAAAAGAGCACTGAAGCAATATACTATGCAGAGAGACAGAGAGCGGATTAATATGTCCTGATGACAGGTTTATCCACTGGGAATAACTAATTTTGTAAAGTTTTACATCTTAAATTAGTAATGGAGGCAGAGTTCTGGACCAGACATCATACTGATGTCCCTTTGTCGCTGTATTATTTTTTCTCCTTTACACATGGACCAATTTGTCGTCCTTTCCTGTGAGTATAGGCATGCACTGGTTACCAGTATTGCGGTAAACCAAATTTTAAGAAAATTCTGCTCGAAAACCATGTAAATTTCCATTCTGATTGTTTCTAGGTCTTTTAGAGATATGCAAGAAAAAACTGCATGTATCAATAAAAAGGTTACATATTTTCCATAAGGGTATCTTATAGCAACAATAAAAATAATTTTGTTTAATAAAAACCTTCAGATCAAAATGCATTTTAAATCTTTGTATGAATCACCTGCAAGAACCTGTAGCAGCGAACAAGGTTTTAAGTCACGAGTTTGATCTAACACAGCGCTGCCTCTTCCTTATGTAATGCTGTGCACTGTTGGTCAGCTGGCTGAAATCAAACTTCCAACACTTTCTCCTCAGTTAAGAGAATATATTAAAAGCCTAAGAAACACAACTCTTACTTTGGGAATGATGTCTGTTAATCTGCAGGCTGGTAAAATGAGAAGATGGATCTAACAATCAGCTAATTGTGTTACAATTGTTTATATATGAGGAACAAAATGAGCCTCTTCTGCTTCATTCCAGCATGTGTTTATGCATTTTTGCTTGCATTAATGTATCAGAATTAACATAAATGTTGTAGATGACTTTTGTAGCAGTAAAAAAAAATTGCCTCTGTTAAATAAAGCAATTATTTCTTATGAATTTCTAATTGAAATGTCTCCTGTCCCTAAAAAAATAAAAAAAACATTGAATTTTCAACTAAAAATGACTGAACACATTGGGTTAAATGTTAAGACGTTTATTAAGTTTTATAAATGGATCTTTTATTGTGTTTTTGTGCTAGAACAACTCTAATGTGTGAGATTATTATGGTCTACATAGCTTCTCTTTTCAAACAATGTTACACTTGAGAGGATATTGACAAATCTGTGACTGTTTTTAATATGTCCATATAGGTGTCAGTGGTCATCTTTTGGCTCCTTAAAACAGGAAGGACATTAGTGAAGGTTGAACCAGTTATTGTTCCTGCAAGGTAAACAAACATCCTAAATGTCTCAGACTAGACGGTTCATACTTTCAAGCTGTTGAAACTTCGGTTTCAGACTTACGTCTTTGTGACCATACACGTTTCTTAACCTTCTATATATATATAACAAAGACTAAAAATAAAATATGCTGCCCGTGTTTAGGTTCATAAATTAAATTCATGTATTCCAGCTTTCTGCATTCATGGCAAATATTTTACGGGAAGGAGGTTAGGGGTGGGGGGGGGTGTATTATTGCATAACTGGAACCTAATCTCAGCAATACACAAACTCAAACAGCTAGTTACAAGACTGTTATGTACAAAGGCAACAAACATTCACAAACACTTCTTTCCCTGATACGGAAACTCTAAAAAGCTACCAAGTCTGACAATTAGTGAACAGTACAAATTATATGTGCGATCCTACATTTATCTCAAACCGTACTGCAGGTACTTCTTCACATGCACAGTCCTCGTGGTATTTTTTTGTGTGTTTTTTTCTTTATATAATGACCTGCTGCACGTGTATCTCGCCGTCTTCAGCCTGAACGTCCCCCTGTCCCGTCTGCTCCCACACCACGCCGCTCTCCCCGACCGCCTCCGTCTGCTGCAGCGAGCCGCACTGCGGAGAGGAGGAAGACAGCACCGGATTGTCCAGAATGAAGGCATTCCTATTGGCCGACGAGGGATCCTGGGTTTGAGGCTGGGAGGCGGAGACCAGCGGTGGGCTCGGAGCCGCCGTGTGCATGGTCTGAAGCTGCGGCGAGGCGGCCAAGATGGGGATCTGCTGAACGTGGTGGGTCTGCGATTGGCTGACAGGCTGGAAGGTCATCTGCAGGATCTGAGCCTGGTTCTGCTGGTGGGGGGCGTAGGGCGGCATGGGCTGGAGCTGGGGCTGGTGCTGGGTCACCATGGAGCCGGAGTGGAGGGTCAGCTGCTGGATCTGAGGCTGCTGCACGAACTGGACGGGCATCTGGAGCTGCAGGTGCGTTTGCTGATGGTTGTCGGCCGGAGACGGGGGGTCGATGGGGGTGAGGGCGATCGTCACGGGAACCTGCATGGTATGGAGGCTCGGGTCTTGCCCCAGTAAAACCACCTGGGGGCTCACTTGCTGCGTCACGTGCTGTCCGTCCTGACCCAGCTGATCGGCATGGCCGTCCTGCCCGACGTGGTTCCCGTCCATGCCCGCCACATCCGCTTGCACGGGGTTTCCTGGCAGCTCCAGCAGAGAGGCAGGGGTGGTGATGAAGGCGCCGGCATTGGCCGCTAGCGCCTCGGCGATTAGCACCTCCGGATGGCTCTTGGCCTTGTGGGCGACCACGCAGTCCTTCTTTTCAAACTTCTTACCGCAAATGGAGCAGGAGAACTGGTAGGTGGCGTCTGCGTCGTGCTTCTTCATGTGCCAGTTGAGCGACGCCTTCTGGCGGCAGGTGAAGCCACAGATCTCACATCTGTTGAAACAGGGAAGTAGTAAGGCTTAAGACACAATGCCTTGCAGAGGCACACTTGAAATATTTTGCATTCTATCATGAACCGACTGCAAACTACAGCTGCACGGGGAAAAAAAAAAAAAAATCTAAATTAAATCAGAACGGCAAAGTTGCTTCATTAATGAACAGAGAAAGACTAACTGTAGAGGCTTCTCTCCAGTGTGTATCATGCGGTGAACAGCCAGGTTGTGGGAGCTCTTGAAGGCGCGGGCACAGAACTCGCAGATGTAATCTCTCTGGTCTACAATCAAAGAAAAAAAGGGTGCAATCAAATATAGATGTTTTCCCTACGTAGCTTTATTATTGGGACTTTTTAAACCAATCAAAGGCCAAGCGATTTGTGTACCTGTATGGTGCTTTGCGTGGCGCAGCAGCTGCTTCTGAAGGCGGAAAAGTCTCCCACAAGACGGGTGGGGACAAACGTACTTCTTCTTCAGTAAATGCTGGTACTTTATGTGATGCTAGTGTGGGGAAAATGTGAGAAAACTGTTGAAAAATAGACTCTGGTACTGTCCTTTAAAGAAGCACGAGGATATGTATTGCTTTTCTTTAAGGGCACAAAGAAACTATGTTAAAACTGATCACAGTTCCTAAGTAGATCTTCTTTTTTTTTCTGTTTCCACACTAAATACCTAAAAATGTTTTTTTTTCCAAACCATATCTGCCTAAATGTACCAAGATATAATTTTCAGATTGACTGCCTAGGGAAATTTATTGATCTAAGGAAAAAAAAAAAGGGCCCATGGAGGAGAACATTTCTGCAGGTTTAAAGTTTAAATTATGAAATACAAAAAATCAATAAAAAAAAAAAAACAGACACCGAGAGGGAAAAAGAAAAGAAAAAAAAAATCAAATATGAAAAAACTAAGATGTTTCATATTATTTTCATTTTTCACACATTTTCAGACAGAATAGCAACCCTGTTATTTAAATACCTGTCTTATCTACATTGTATGAACGTTGTTCTATTAAAAAGGGAAAAAAAAGTCATACATTTAAACACAGCAACAACATAAGAATTAATAAGAGCTTTGTTTTTGTTTATATCATGCCATTGGAAATGTGTGAGGAAATCCCGGCTTGCTTATCTTGATGCTGATCTCAGGGGTGTGTGTGTGTGTGTGTGTGTGTGTGTGTGTGTGTGTGTGTGTGTGTGTCGCTGCTGAGACAAACCTGGAGGTAGCGAGGATGAGCCAACACCGTCCCACATCCCTCCATCTCACAGCGCACATACTGAACGGGTGGCTTCTTCCTGAACGAGTCAAGCAAACAGCAGAGTTAAACATCCTGGACTCTTATAATCAGATCTTCAGACACATCAATATCTAACAGGCCTGCAAGGCTTCTCAACCACAATCCCAACCGGTTATAATATTGGGAGAAATAAGTACACTAGAAACACTAGATAAGCTAGAAACCAAAAAAAAAGAAAAAAAGCACCGTCATTGTACAATAAATTTATGGTACGTATTTGGTTTGAGACCCTACGCAGGTTTCACTCTCACCGTCTCTTTGGTAGCCGTGGAGTTTTGTCGTCTTTTTTCCTGCGGCCTCTCCTGATTAAGTAAGAAATAAAATGTGCTTACTTCATGTTTACAGATACAACTCGGTGTGAAAAGACTTCATAGGGAGGAAATAAGGAAGAGCAGTTGGTTACCATCTAACACCGACAAACTATTGTTTCTGTTTTTAAAGCTCCTGCATAAAAACACGGGACAAGCTGAACTTACTTCCTGGGTCCATCGAGATCTTCAGCTACTTCCTCCTCCAGCTTTACTTCCTCCTGCACCATCTCCAGGTTATCTGCACCCTCTACCTTTATCTCTGAAAACTCTGTTTCCTTTTTAGGTGCTTTATCCTTCTCTTTCTTTTCCTTGTGTCTCGGAGGAACTTTGCGCTTTGGTTTAGTAATATCCCTAGAAAAAAAATGAAGACAAATAAAAAAAAAAAAAACTTAATAAATATCTTAGAATATTAATCAAAGAAAAAGATTTGGCAATGTTTCCCAACGAACAAAAAAAAAATAAAATAAAGAGAGACGTGAGGCTTCCATACAGAAATCTTTCAGCCCTCGGGTCGTAGCTTTGATCGTTTAAGTCGTCTCTAAAGGGAACGTCTTCATCACTGCTGAGGCCGTCCACCTCTTCACCACTGCTAAAAACAAAAACGCAAACAACCAAAGGGTCCGCAAATGGCTTATGCTTCTTCTGTACACAGCTGAGTGGTGCGCTCAGTGTAAATTTACCTCTGACTCCGAGGCTGGAAGCCGAAGTCATTCGAATCATCCTGATAAGGAAGCTCTTCATCTTCCGGGACTTGCTCTGCGTCCTCCTTGCTGTCTTCTTCTTTCTTTTTGCTAAGGAAAAATAACAATTAGGTTCGGGGTTTTATGGCCCTGCTCTGACCCGGCTTGGAAACACTCCAAGCTAATCTGACTGTATTTGGACTGAATCTTAACGTAACTTATATCACCAGATTGTAAACAACCACCGTTGACATGAACTGGATCTGTTTGTCCAGTAAAGTGGTGATAACTCTTTAAGAGATAAAATAACATTATAACTTAATTAAAAATTTAACTTCAGAATGTTAAAATGTAATATAATTAAATGATAAATTTAACAGAACTGTGTCAAAAATAAGTACTAGTTTTCCTCAAAGTCCTTCCCAAAAGTAAAGAAAGGGTTGTAAGGATCACTTCTGCTGGAAAAGTTGCATTCAACCTTTTTAGATTTAGTCATATCACCAGGATTTAAATGGCATTCATGGTGTGGAAGTCATTTTTAAACTAAAAAGCTAAGCATATACTTACGTTTCACAGTTTTCTCTATCTGTACTCTCTTCTTCCACTGCTGCACAAAACAAAATGACAACAAAATAAAAACAGATTTCAACCTTCTTCAGTAAAAAAAAAAAATAATAATAATAATTGCACTTCTGTTTTATGTTTTTTTTTTTTTTTTTTTTTAAAATTGTGCTTTTTTTAATTTGTTAAAATTTTTTCTTCCTGGGTTTTAAAAAAAAATATG